CGTCCTGTTCTCTGGGTTGGGTTGGGCTTTCGTTTCCCTTTGGCTGATTCCTGCTGAGTGGGGCCAGTTCCTTGTCAGGCTCGGGGGCTCGGGGCAGGCACCATTCTCAGGCCTGGCTGCCTTTCCATATCAGCACAGCATCTTTGTCTCTGTTCTGTCTCCTCCAAATCCAAGATGATTTTAATTAGTACAGACATGTACAGTCTACAATTAAAGAGTGATTTGTATTAATATGATTTTGATTCTAACTCCTCTTTGCTGTCCTTTCAAGACACTTGCTGGAAAAAGCTTTAATGCACTTAAGTTTTCCTTTAGGTTTTTTAGGACTCAGATGTAAAGGACTTTCTCTGTACAGTATATTATCCAATGCATGTTCTCTATCCTGATATATCGAACACCACACAGTTGTGAACTTGTGCAGTGGGGTTGCCCCACGCCCAGCAGAGGCTTCTAGCCCCCTGTGTATAAGGGAAGACATTTCCCTTTGCTGTACTTGCCTGAGCAGTTTTATTGTCTGTACACGTGAGCTGTGTGAGATAGATGTGAAAAGTTTCAATGAATGCCTTTTCCTGCCCCATGTACACAGATCGTCATCTGTACAATGAACTGTCTGTATGAAAGCAAATGTACTTATTTATAAATGGTTAACATTGGACAAGCGTGGTCACTGTGGTGCTTTGCCCCTCTGGTCACACCTCTGCAGGAAGCGGATCGGCAGCCCTCATGCCCTCACGTAGGCCTGTGGCTCTAAGAGCCTCCGCCCAGGGAAGGATTTGGCCACATCCTCCATGATTTGGCTGGTCCATTATGGGACATCAGAGTCATTGAGGCGGTCACTGAGCCTTTGCCAAGGCTCCACTCTGATGGGCACTTGGAGCTGTGCATGAAGACGATGGTTCTGAGGGTCTCTCAGCAAAGGCTCAGTGTGTCCAGTGTCAAGGGGAGGCTCTTTCTTCAATAGAAGAGTTCTTCAGTCATACCAGCAAGCACTGAGCTCTCTCCATGTTGCATTGTGACAGCCAAAACTGTGCCCCAAAATCCATGGCTGAAGTGGGGTGACAGTTCTAGCCATGGATCCAAAGTCTGGCTTGGTCAAAGCTAGAGGCCCACTGCTTTATTTTTCCTTCAGAATATGGCCAGGATTTCTACTGCTCACCATAGAGAGGACTGCGGGTTTCCTGAAACTGGCTTACAAAAAGGGGCCAGCACTGAGCCTACAGCCTTTCCTGCCCAGCGGCTGTCTCTTTGTCTACTTCAGGGACTAGCAACTTCCTCTGGCTAAACAAACAGGCCTGATGTGTAACTATAGCCATTTCCCCAAACAACCAAAGCTGGGCTCACACGAAGACCCCAGGGCATGAAGACTTCTCCCAGCCTGGATCCCAGGACTGCCTTCAAAGAGAAACAGTAGTGCAGACTTGGGGGAACTGCCCACTCAGTCTGAGAACCATTCTAGGCTACTCCAGTTATTTCCTGAAAACTCAGAAATGAGTAAGTGGTTGGCAGAAACCACAGCTGCTTCCTTTAAGAATGCCCAGGACATTTGGAAGAAAGGTAATGATCCCTTAAAAAAAATAATTCTTAAAAGGGATTTTCCCAGAACCTGAAGAAAACGCCACTCGGTAGAAGCAAAGAATGAACTTGGCTGAGACCTTTGTAGATTCTCAGAAGAACCAAACCAGACAGCCGTCCACCTCTTCAGTTCTTCCCAACAACCATCCTAAACTAACTTAGATGGGCCACTGTGCGCATGTGCCGTGGGGAGCTGGACTCCCGCCACTACGCTGGAACAAGCAGGCAGAAACTGAGGAAGGGGGGCAGTGTCATCTTTCAGCTTTAGAAACAAAATCTGGAGGAGCACGAAGAGACTTGGCAACTCAGTCATTCTCTTCCCAGGAATAGGCTGTGGCTGTTAAACGCCATCAAGTCAGTTCCAACATATAGAAACGCTCTATAGGGTTTCCAAGCAGCAACTGGTGAGCTTGAACTGCTGACCTTGTGGCTCAAACCAACTTTGCAGTCCAACGCATTAACCCACAGCGCCACATCAGAACTCCAGGAATGGGATAGGGTATTCCTATAGTGTCTGCACAGAATTAGGATTTTTTTTTTAAAGGAGATCCCGCCTAGGACAGTGTTGCTTGTTCCCTTGAGACACCCATCCTGTCCCATTAGTTTCCTGTAGAGGAAATGGTAGAGAAGCTGCCCTCCAGAGGGAGTCTGTCCGCTTCCTCAGAGGATTTGAATAGTCACAAACTGAGGAAAATGACCCATGAGATTATGAGGTCAACCCCAAAAGCCAGAAGTGAGATGGCATGTAAACAGGGTTAAGGGCCCTCAGCCCAATCTTGACTGAGAAGTCAGCTGGTGAGTATCAAACAGTGTGGTATGAGGACCACAGAGAAGCTTTGATGCAGGGGACTGTCCAGCTGCATTAAGGACAGGTCTCAAACTCTAGCTGGACACCAGAGTTTATACAGAAAACCATTTGAAATGTCAGAAAGTATTCATGTTATCAAAGAACTGTTTACCTTGTTAGAGGAGCCACGATAGGGTTCCTTTAAATCATGAGCTGCCTGACAAGTTTTATTTTAGGAAAGGCTTCTAACCAGTTCTTCCTGGTTCAGTCATGGCCAACAAAGACGGACCTGAATTTGTAAAACATGGTTGCATAGAAATGATAACTAAAACAGGAAAAATTAACTGGTCAGCACCCTGCTAGGACCGTAATCTCCCCTTAGTTAACAAGGGCAATGTGCACGGTGCATAGCTATCAGCTCTCTAGAACACAATTGGGAACCATGGACCCAGGCTCAAAGATGGCAGCTGGCCACTTTGAATGTGTCGCTCTCCACAATCCTTGTTGCTAAGTGCCAACTCATAGCAACCGTGTATAGGGTTTCCAAGGAGTGGCTGGTGAGTTTGAACCACTGACCTTGTGGTTCAGACCGACCTTGCAGTCCAGCGCTTTGTCCCACAGCGCCACACTCCACAGCCCTAGCAACAAATAATCCTGTCTCCTCCATCAGGCGCCTGAAAGGGTTTCCTGTACTGCATTTGAGTCTTAAGGTCTAAGACTTTGACCCATCATTTTTTCTACTCTGGTTACTATAATTCACCCATATTTTACAAATTCAGATCTGTTCCAATTTTGCTGCATCAGTCATGACTGAACCTGTTCGAACCGTTCAAAACCCTGGTTTGAGATGACAGTGCTTCTTAGGAGCCCCCAGTACAAGACGTGCATCCAAACTGACCACAAACAGCGTCTAAGCCATAATCAGAGTTTTGTTCTTAAAGCACTGCTCCTCTCAGTAAGTAACAAAGACCTGTTCAAAGAAAACTCTTCGTGGATACGGAGGGAAACTGCTTGCTGTGGTCTTACCAGGTCCTGCGGCTCCCCCCTGCGCCGTTCCCTGTGGGTTATCTCACTGCATGGAAGAGCCGAGAGACTGGACAAGCACAGGGCCATTTCAAAGCCTGCATCGTGATAAATGTCAGTAATCACTTTGCCTTTCTGTGCTCGGTCTGCAACAATTCAATTTCCCTCACCCCTCAAACCAACTCATCAGACTCTGCTAAAAGCCCTGGCTTCGTTTATTGCCACGGTAAATGAAGATAATAGGCAAGAGGTTTGCTGTAGACATTTATTGAATCATCTATTACACCAACAACACATTATACTGAACAGAAGATTGGCCGCAGGCAGAACAAACCACCGAGGAGAGGAGCAGGGGGAGGGGGCGCCTTTGGCTCTGTATTCTCCAGCGTACAGTTTGGAAAATGACCAGTTTACAACTTCTGTTGCAAATCCAAGGTTTCGTTTCTCATCAGTGGCTTTATGACAAGAGACACACAATTGGACTGCAGCAGTTGCTCTAATGTGGGGGTTTTCACATGTAAACATTCGGGTGCCAGGCAGCTGAAGCCCTGATAGAGCCCCTGCCCCCTAGAGCACAGTTGCCCGGAGGAGGTCACAGAACCCATAGGAAAACCAGCCACTGGAAGGCCAAGCATCATCAGAGACTAGCGCCCATCTCTAAGGCAGCTATTAAAACGATTCCAATTTAGGGTGTTTATTAATTTCTAAATTTATGTAAACTCTGTCTGCTTCCAACTATGTTGTCCTCAAAATCCAGAAAATGAGGAAAACAAGGAGAGTGCTCGCCAAATCTAAGCAAGTATCTCCAGACAAAAGCCAAACAGTGACTCAGCTAACTGAACAACACACTTCACTGGGGACCAGGGGTGGGGGTGGGGATCATCCAGATACCACCCCAGCACCCAACTCATCATCCTCCTCCAAAGATGGACACTGGGTAAAAACAGAAGCAGGGGCCTCCCCATCAAAGGAGGCAACAGTGGCAACTCTTTTTCATTTAAGAAAAAAATATATATATATCAAAGCAGTGCTGTGCCAGCAACAAGCGAGAAGTCCAGATCCTGGTCTAGGGGCGGGGAGTCGGGGGGGTGGGGGGGTGGAAGGCCCACCGACCAGCCCACGGGGGACCATCACAGAAAAGGGAAGGCGGGGGGGGGGCTGACTGCAGGGCTTCCCCGGGGTCAGTCCCTCCCACTCTCCTGGGGAGCCTAGCTCTGAACATAGTTTACACATAGTATCACTCACTCCCAGCACCAAAGGATAAGGCTTCTGATGTGAACACAGACTGGTCCTTGAGGCCCTCAGCCTCCCCAGCAGCCCTGCCCTCAGTGAAGCCCCAGGGAGGTGGAGCCATTTGTCTCCTTTAGGGATCCATTCTTCAGCGACAGGACTTAACTACCCAAAGCCTTCTCCGTGTGACGGGACAGGAGACTCACAGACCACTAGGATTAGTCTAAAGCAGCAGTAAAACGAGAAAGCAGAGCAAGGCCAGGCCCAAAGTACACACAGATGCACCCTACTCCCCAGACACACTGTAGGAAGCCACTCATCCTGAAAAATGCCTCAGCAGGGCGTGAGCTGACAGACAACACAGGTGAGGGGGAGGCCTAGGCACACGTCACTGGGAGCTGGGACTCTCTCCCTCCGTCAGGGTCTTGAAATCCATGGAGAGGGCTTGTTCTTCAGCCTGGGACGGCCTCTTCCATTCAGTGCGAGTCAAGATGTAGAGCACAACCACACCAAAGCAGACCAGCAGCAAGCCCAGCACGTTGGCCAAGACACCCTCAGGCTCGAATGTGCTGTACTTGGCCCTATAGGGTTAGGATGGAAGTGGGGAAGCCACCCAGGGGGTCTCAGTGAGCCCAAATGCCCTTAAAACACTGGGCTAGAAAGATGGCACAGTATTCCTGAGCCAGCTCCTCTCTATCCCCACACCAACTATAAAAAGATGGCTTCAAAAGCGGAGCTCAATCTTGGTTGGATGATTGTGAGCCTGCCCACTCATGTCACGGAACACTCACCCAAGTTTAAACAGCAGTGCCTCCTTCAGGCCAAGCAGGGCTGTGCCCACAGAAAAAAGGAAGATGGAGGCTCCAAAGAAGATGTGCTGTGGGCGGTAGCGGCTCCGCAGAGAAAATGAAGCTCCAGGGAACAGGAAGAAGCTAAAGCCCACGAGCCACTGAAAGGACAGGAGAGAGGTGCTGGGGGACTGACCACCTCCCTGCTGGCCATCAGCTGACCCAACAAGAGGATGCCCAAAGCAGTTGCTTCTCAGCAAGACTGCCGACTCCTCTATCTGCTGGTCTTCCTTCATCGTAAGAGCAGTGGCAGGGGAAGAAAGTATTGCTAGTAAAGGGCTGTGACCCCAAGAGCTGGAGGACAAAGCTCACCGGATTCATAGACTCAGAACACTGGGCCCAAGGACAATCACCTATGCTAAGTCAACCAGCTGGAAGGGCACCTGGGATCCAAGACACCCTCTGCTATCAGTCCCACTGTGGCCTTTTGGGGACTCCCTGGAAAATGGGCTATCACTCCCCTCCCCGAAAGGAGTCACCTGCACAAAATAAAGGACGAAGACGATGATCCCACACCAGCTGTGTAGACTATACAGGTCAGCATAGCCCTTCTTCCTGTGATAGTTGAACATGGCCACCAAACCTGGACCAGAGAGACAGGGCGTGTGAGGACAGGGCTGGATGTGGAAAAGGGAGGAGACAAGAGGACCCATGGGAAACTGGTTGGTTGGAACTTCTGGGCTCCCGTCCCAGCTCTGTGGCTGCCAGTACTGAGTGTCCCTGCTTAGGATGCCTGGAGGGGCCAGGGAGCAGAAAACACAACAGAACGGGAGTGAGGAGCTTGAGCACGAGGACCATCTACTTCCTGAGGTAGGAGAGGTAGGGGATGGCCGTGCCAGGAACTCACCCACCAAGGCAATGATGAAGGCAAAGACATGCAGCAGCCCGTGCAGAACTTTGGTTGTACGTTTGGCTTCGTTCCTGAAGACACGGTAAACCAGCAGGGCTTATGAGAAGCGAGAAAGGGAACAAAAACCATTAATTCGCCTCTACTCAGGGCCTTTCTGCCGCAATGTCGAGGAGGCTCAAGGCCCCCCAGGGCGGGAGATAGGGTCCTAGTTAGGGGCCTGTCCAGGTATCTCTGGCACAGGAAATTCATCTGGGGTCACTCAGCTGCTCCCTGCCTTCGAGGTCAGCACCCACAGGTTGTGTATGAATCACCCCTTCCCCACCCACCTCTAACACAGCCACTCAAGGCCATGATACTATGCTGGGTCCACGATTCCTGCTGCCACAAGAGACAGCAAAGATACAGGACTTGGCCCACTGTCCCTCCTATAGCAAATGGCCCTCCCCGAGCTGGACACTTTGCAGGTAGCCTGTGTCTCCCAGGTTCATCATGCAATCACACTAAGGGGCCACCAGACCTCTGCATCCCCCTCTAGCTGGCTGGTTCCCCAATGAGTTCAGTACTGCAGCCTGATCAGACAGTCACTGGATTAACCGGCAGGCTCCTGGTTCAGAACTCCTGGTTCCCAAAACAGGACCTGTTATTCACCAGCTAGTCAGCCCTGGCTGGCCATGGGGCAAGGCCTGGTGGCAAATGGCAGAGGGGATTGTCTTGGATTCTGCTGCTGAAGGTAGACTGTGGCCAGGACCACATGGAGAAAGAATGGGTCAACCAGACTGAGACCCAGCTCTCTAGTTACCTAACCAAACGAAGGCCACCCACGGCCACCAGCACCCCAGGGAAGAGCTTCAGTTCGGCCAAGTTCAGCATCCCTCCACAAACACACTTTTTTCCAACTTCAACCCCTACTCAAGAAACCAGCCCCAACTCGGCAATGCCCTATGATGGGCACAACCTTGGATGCTCCTTGTCAAAGTAACAATGCCACCTCCGGGCCCAAGGGAGCCTGACTGGGTCCTCCTCTCTTCCCAGAGTCCCCTGTTGTTGCTGTTGTTATGTGCCGTGGAGTCGGTTCCGACTCATAGCCCTGTACAGGGTTTCCGAGGCTGTAAATCTTTACAGGAGCAGAAAGCCTCATCTTTCTCCCGCGGAACAGCTGGTAGTTTCGAACTACTGACCTTGCGGTTCGCAGCCTGATTCGTAACCACTATGCTACCAGAGCTCCTTAGATTTGTATAAATAGGTGCCACCTCAGGAATGCCCCCTCAAGAGACTCACCATCACCCTGCAGGAAGATGAGGCCGATGACCATGCAGAGGGGATGCACGTTGAACTGCAGGGTGTTCGTCCAGGCAATGCCGCCTCGGTACAGGCCAAGCCAGGCACCGGTCATGGCCACCACAGTCAGACCCAGCAGCTGAGAGAAGGCCACGTAGTAAGGCAAGGCTCTGGGGGCTGCATGGGTTCCGCCCTCCATGCTGAGGAGAGACACAGAGCTCACAGCATCCCTGGGAGAAATGGGCCACCTCCCAGAGACAGACCCTGGGCCCAGTTGTGATGCCAGGAGCTTCGAGGCTTTATTTCCTGCTTGGTGACACACTGTCTACCCTGGTGGGTCATAAAGTGCATCTGGTGGGGTGAATGGAGGGTCCACCTCCCCTCCAGGCCCACTTGTTATGCTTCAGGCTGAAGATGGGATGACAAGGACCCACGCCATGGTACCTGGCAGGGGCAGCCAAGCCGACTCCTTCCCTTCTGGCCTCTTTCTCCCACTCCAAACCCAGGGCAGGGCAAAGCCACACCCCTCTCAGGCCAAGTGTCCAAACTGAAGGCACGAGAAAGGAGACCTCTGAGGAAGACTGTCTCACCGCTCAAGTTCACCAAGTGTTTCCACACACTCCTGACTGATAGCAGTCCTGCAGAGGGAGCAAGTGTATCACTGGACCATTTTACAGATAGGAAAATGGAGGCTCAAGGAGACTTGACAAAGCCTTTGCTCAAGAGGCTACACAGCAAACCCAAGAGAGGATCTGCTCTTCACCCTGAGCCTCTAGTTCTCCTGAGCTCTGCCCGGCCCTCACACCCACAGCACAGCCCCGGTGTCACTGCACCAGACCCATCCTCACAACCTTCTTACTGCCCTGTTGCCCTTGGGGAACATGGCAGGGCCACCACCTGGAGCAGCAGGGGATGAGAAGAGAGGGAACAGCTACAAAGACAACCAGGCAACTAGGCCTGGCCTCCTCTGGCTTTGCCCACCAAAGCCCATAGAAAGGCACACACCCAGACAGAGCCTCAAGCAGTTCGCCAACTTCCCCATTACAAGGGCTGCAAACTGGCCTCCCCAGCCCAATCTGGCACGTCCCCTCCAGGGCGGCCATCCCCCAGTTGCTACATGTCAATAGAAGGCAAGTGGGCAGTGAGCCGAACAGATGTCAGGGCTGAACTATTTTTCCTAACCCCTCCCTCCGGCAGGAGACCCACCGCCCTCTGTCCAGCACTAGCCTTCAGCTCTATCTTTAATCCCCAAGCCTCTGTCTCACAGCTGTTAGCAACTCCCACCATTAAAAAAAAAAACACAAATGTTCATGCATGTTTCTTGAAGCAAAACACAGGTAAGCAAAGAGGAAGAAAATTACAAGTGATAGCGTTTTTATCTATATTCTTACATTCGTTTTTCCTTAGAAATATAAATTCTTTTATAGAAACAGCATCACAATTTTCTAAAAAATTCTTTTTTGGAAGTCATGGTTCTATTCACTGGGAAGAAATTAACACTGGACTTCTCATTTATGACACAAAAATCATGGTGTGCAGATGTAAATAGAAAAAATAAAATATTGCATGAAAAATGAAGACTATACATGTACAGTATCTTTAATCTTGAAGATCTTAAGGAGACGTCTTAAGCTCTTAAAGATTAAAACTTGGTAGCTATCAAAGAACTCATTTGCTGCTGTTAAGTGCTGTTGACTTCTTGAGACCCTGTATAGGATTTCTGAGGAGCAGCTGGTGGGTTTGAACTGCTGAACTTGTGGTCCACAGTCCAGTGTTGATCCTATAACACCACACCAGGAGTCCAATAAAAATAATAGCTACGTTTAATCACATCACAATTAAAAACAAGCATACAACGGAATATACCATAAACAGGTTATTCACCAATTGATTTGGAAACAATGTATGTAACAGATGATAGAGATTTAGTATCTGTACTATAAGCAAAGCTCTTATAAATTGACAAGAAAAGAACAACATGAATAGGTAATTCACAGAAAAGCAACTCCAAATTGTCAACAAGGTCCTGAGAAGATACTCAAACTTTCTGGCTGTCAGAGCAATGTAAATTAACATAACTATTAGATGTCTGTCGCTTTACACCCTCTCTGTTGCTGTTGTAGCCCTGTGTGTGCAGAGTGGAACTGCTCAGTAGGGTTTTCAAGGCGGTGACCTTTCAAAAGCAGGTCACCAGGCCTATCTCCCAAGTGTAACCAGTGTTTTTAACTTAATGTACATCATACATAGTTTTTCATCAATGAAAATACCAGAAGGCTCTAAAAAGTGCATGGAGAAATGGAATTAAAATGGAATTTTTCCATGTACTTTCTTAAGTTCCCTTATAGATCTACATCATCATTTTAATAACTAAACCACATCGCATTGTATGATGGTTCCATATTTCAAATCCCCTGTTGTTCCCTAACACCACTATGTGACTGTCTCAGCATAGTCGTCTAATTAAGTCCTAAGCAGGAAAATGGAATCCTGACGTAAGGGGTTTTGATATATTCTGCCAAATCTTCATCCAGAAACACAGACCCAATCCACAATCCCAGGGCAGGTATGGCACCTGTTTCCTCAGCCCTGTACCCCTTCTTTCTGGAACTCTAGCGTCACCCTCCAATCTTGGAAACTCAATGATTCAGAACTGACTCGATGGCACATAAGCATCTGCCCTTATCTGCCACCTCTACACAGGTGGCTCCTAATTCCAATGTCAATTCTGTTCTTGCCCCTAAACTCTAACTCCAGTTCTAACTGTCCAGTATATATAGTGGTTACCATTCAAAACTACCATCTGTTCCATGGGAGACACATGAGGCTTTCTGCTTCGGAAACCCTGTATAGGGTCGCTGTGAGTCGGAACTGACCCCACGGCACATCACCACCACTACCACCATATATCTCCACCTGGACACGTTATACTCACACATCTAAGGTCACCTGCTTGCACTCTCTCCTGGACCCCCTCGTCCCTAGCACCTACGCCCCGGCACCTCCCAGGACTCTTGCTGTATACTCCATGAGCATTCTTACTGCCACCAGCTGATGGATTCTGGACGCACAACTTGCCCTCACTGTCACAACCACATCCTATTTGGTCCCTCCACCTCCATCTGCCTGACTGGCCAGGGATACTCCCAGTGCCCTAAATCATGGTCCCCTGCAGAAACGGTCACCCACTACCTGCCTGCAGGTGAAACACCACCTCCCAACCTCACTTTTCCACGGCAGCTCTCACTACGTTCTTAGCAAGGCCCCTCAGAGGACTCGCCCCACTGTCTAAACAGAACAACTTGTGTCGTTACTCCCTGTAACACACTACCTCCTCCATTGCCCCCACAACAATCTAAGATTGGGTCAGGGCCCTGAAGTGGGCAGTGCATCCCAGGCCTCCTGGCTTTGTCTTACAAGAATCAGCTGCGCGTCTCCGCGGAAGCACACGGGTTGTTTCCTGAAGGCAGGGCTGCGGCTCTCCAGCCCCTAACTCACACCTTGCTCGACTTCAGCAGCTGGAGAAATGCTGTCCTCCCAGATCACCTCCCTCCTTTATTAGATCCCCCCCCGCCCCCGCCCCCGCCCCCCAGAAGCCAGAGCGCGGTGGGAATCTGATTAGTCCTGAATTAGGACGTACAGAAGGAACAGCAAGCGCTTTGCCATGGGCCCACCTGCCACCACACTATTTTTTTGTAAATACATATATATAATTGCAGTGAAAACACACACCAATTTGGCCATAACAAATTCCACACTTACAAATCCCTGACACTGGTTACATTCTTCATGTTGAGCCAACATGATCGCAATCCTTTACAAAACCTTCCACCACCACTAACAAAAACTCTCCCTTTCCCTTCCCTCTCACCCCTGGTAACCAGGAACCAGCTTGGGTCTCTACATATTTGCTTCTGTCATCTAAGTGACATCATACAGTACAAGGGGGCCTCAAAAAAATCATGGAAAAAGTCCATTATCTTCTCATTTCATTTTTCCATGAACTTTTTTTAAGCCCCTTGGTCTCCGCCCTTTTGCGACAGACGTATCCCAGTCAGCGTGATGTTCTCAAGGTCCATCCATGTTACAATACGGATGTCCTTGCGCTCTCCGACTGCATAATGTCCCATTGTAAGTACGTGCCACGTTTTGTTTGTCCATTTATCTGTGGATGGACATTTCCGTGGTTTCAACCTTTCCGCTGTGTGAAACCTTGGTCTCTGTGTGAGTTCCTGCCCCCACCCCGCTTCTGTAGCTACCTGGGACCAGGGTGGCTAGCTCCAGCCACAGCTACTGCCTGTTTGGTTTTTGTCTAACTTTTTATTTTGCTTTAGGTGAAAGTTTACTGAGCAACTCGTTCCCCATCAGTAGATGACATATAAATGGTTTGGTGGCACTGTTGGCAATGCCCGCATCTCCACGGGTTTCCATTCATCAGGGGGCCCCTGCCCCTCCCTACCTTCTCATCTGTGTTTTGGGGCAGTGTTAGCCTTTTGCTCTTCATTGATTGTTTTAAAGCACACATTCCTCTCAGGTGGTATAGTTTAGTGTATAGCCCCGCGAGTCTTTGGCTGAAAGGTGGTCTCTCAGAGCGGCTTCGGTTCCAAGTTACGAGGTTCTTTTATGGCCAGTCTCAGGGGTTCCTCCAGTTTCTGTTAGACCAATAAGTCAGCCTCTCCTAGGAATTTGAATTTTGTTCCACATTTTTCACTCACTCTCACTGGGACCTTCTATTGTGTTCCTGGTCAGAGTGGATGGTAATGCCGCAGCTTCTTGTGCCGAGATGAGCACAAAGGGCCAATCTGGGAATTTGGGGACCTCTGAGCTACCCCATGGAGAGGCAGCTGAAACCAGCTTCTGTCCTTTCCAGACAGGCTCCTTGGGGGACAGTGTGAGATCCTCTTCGCAGATGGTGGCTTTACCATCCTTCACTCAACATTCCAGACCAAGTTTCCTTGGAAGTGAGAACCCTAAGGCTGGCTGCACCCCCAGGACAGTGGGGATGGAGCAGAGAGGCAGATTGTGTATGTTGAGTATAGGGGGACTTAACGGTGCCCCCGGTCTGTGTCAGGCACCTCACAGGTGCTCTCATTTTATCCTCACAAGAGTCCTGTGGGATATTCTATCCCACTTTCACATGTGACAAAATAGACTCAAGGAGGGTAAGCGACACACCCAAAGTTCCTGTCAGCAAAGGGCTGCT